CGGCCTCATCCGCGCACCCCGGGGCATCCGCTCCGCCCGTCCAACCGGCTACACAGCGGCTTTGCCCGGCCCGGGAGCTGCGGCGCGGAGAGGGGCCGCCCCGGCCCTTTCCCCGAGATCCCGACTCACCGCGCTCTGCCGAGGCCGCCGCCGCCGAGGCCGCCGCCGCCGCCGGAGCCGCGCGCACCACCAGCGAGCGGGGGGCGGGGCCGGGGGCGGGGGCGGGGCTGCTGCGGCCCCAGCACCTGCTCCAGGGGGAGGGCAAGGCCCCGGCAGGTGAGCCCACCGGGCAGGTGAGCCCGGACGGGGTCACGACCCTGGGGAGACAGCTTGGGGATGGGGGTGTGTGTGAATAACTACGATACTTTAAAAAATAAACTTGTGGAACAGCTTTCGATTTACAGACAAGGTGTGAAGATGGTCCTTTGCACCCAGTTTCCTACCTTACGTTCGAGCCATAACATTGTCACAACCCATGAACCAATACCGACACATTATTAGCCAACATCCACACTTTATTCGGATTCCCGGTTTCCCTAGCACTTGTTCTGTGCTCGTGGCCCCTCCAGTGGGAGGGTTTCTCAGGCCCCTCGATCTGGATGCTGTGGGCCATGGGGAAGGGCCAGCAGGGGTCTGTAGGACGCCCTTCTATTGGGGTTTGGTGTGTTTCTCACGGTCAGGCTGGGGCAGTGGCTTGGCCTCGGTTTTGATGCACCTGCCACAGCCACGCGGCAGCCCAGCCTTCCCCACCCCCCACTGACTCCCTCCGCCCTGGCCCAGGAGAACACACCCTTCATTAGAACCATCATCTTCGCTCAAGACACTTTGGGGGTATTTTCTGAACTGCCTTCAGGGACCAGCTGTCTTACCACCCACGGTGGCAACATCTTCAGGCCTAGGTGGGGACGTCCTCTTGTGGGAAGCACTAGAAGCCACGGGGAGCCAAGCACGGTGCTGGGGAGGGAGCAATCCCTCCGGGCCCCAGCTGCCTGCCGTGTGGCCCCATCTCCCGAGGCAGGCCCTGCAGAAGCATCTCTCGTGCCTTTTGGCAGAAGAGGCAGCTCAGCCCCAGAGGGAGGGTAGTGACACGACCAAGGTCACTCAGCTCCAGCATGCAGCCAGGACTCCAGAGCCAGGGGGCTCTTCCCACTGCTGCACCCGTCCCTGAGCTGGGGCACTGTGTGGGGGGGGACCCTCCTCTCCCCACAGGGCAGCCACCGCTGGGCTCTTTCTAGGACTCTTGCCTCCAACCCGCTGGTGACACGGGCCATGCCTTCCCCATATGGCCAGCGACCCCTGCCCTCCCACCAGCCACGCTCATCTCCCCACCGGAGGCCCCACCCGCCTCCCCCACGTACCTTCCCTGACACCTGCCTGCCCCCGAAGACAGAGGCACGAGTGGACCTGTGTCCCGTCCCTCCTCCCCAGCTCCCCAGGTTCAGCCACCTGGGGCAGAGCGGGTCGGAGCCTCCCACGTGTGCCCCCAGGGGGAAGCGGGGTCACACAGCAGGTGCTCAATAAAGACGGAGGAACGAGTAGTTAATAGTCACTGACAACTACGTAAGCTCTGCAACTCAGAAGAAAATTGCTGTCCTCACAGCACCGTCGCACGTCCACGCGGACTTGTGCCCCACCACAGAGCAGGACTCAGTCTCCCCGGCGCCAACTTGTGCTACCCCTCCCCGTGAAAACAAGCGTGTGGGGCCCCCGCTCCTGGGCACCCGCTGCGCTCGCCACCCTCACGAAGGCATGGCCCAGCACCAGTCCAGGGCGAGCAGGGCTGGTAGGCCAAGGGGTGCGCCCAGCCCCGGGCTCTGCGGCCTGGCTGGGGACCCTCAGTGCTCAGTGCTGAGCACCTGGCCTCGGGATGGTCTTGGAGGAGTCGGCCCCAGGCAGCCTAGTGGAGGGGCCGTGGAGACACGCCTTCTCTCCCGCAAAGAGCTTGGTGGCCACCACCGGGGCTGGCAGGGCTGGGGGGGGGGGCGGGCAACCTTCACAGACGCTCGCTAAGGGCCACACCTTTTTGACTAGGTGAAAACCATCCAGGGGAGGCTATTCCATGACCTGGGAAAACCACGTGGGACTCCCTATCTCTGTGTCCGGCAGCGTCCTGGCCGTGGCCGCACCAGTGTGCCACATGCTGTGCCACGTGGCTGCAGCAGCAGGGCCAACGAGTTGTGGCCGGGAAGACCCCAGCCGCCGGCCAGCTAGCTCTTCACACCAAGTCCACGGGCCCGCGACAGGCTGCCAGGCTTCCTTCGACTCTCACATGCCGCGAATCAGGACCCCGGCCCCACACGGCCGCCGTGGACTCGCTCCGGCACCTCAGCACAGCCGACCCTGCAGGCCGGGGCCACACCGCGGAGGAGATGAGGGCCAAGCGGCGGCTCTTAAAAGCTGCGTTTAATTGTAAGATTCAAACAGAAGCGAGCAGAGACCGAACACAGAAACCTCAGGAACGAACATCCGCCTTCGGATCCCCCGACGCTTGTCAAACACAGAGAACGGAGAGATTCTGGCTCCTACACCAAAACGTACAAAATGGCTTAGAGGGACGTGCAGGTCGGTGTGGGGGCGGTCTGCTCAGACCCTGCACCCCGGTCTGGCCTCCCCGTCGGGCGGCTCTGTGGGGCCGGCTGGTCTCCCTCCCGGGTCACCTGTTGTTTTAAGAGACACACAAACAGGTGGAAGACGTTTTTGTTTTTGTTTGGAATAAACATCATTTCTTCTTAGAGCAGCATGGCTAACAAAGGCTGTGTGTGAGTCTGTCTGGCGCTGGTATTTTTTGGAATGGATCATGGTTGACCCCGTGCCTGCTGTCTGCAACTGAGCAGCGGACAGACAGGGGACAGAGCTGGGACCGCGTGGCTGGGGGATCTGTGCCTTCACGTCACGTCAGTGGAAACAGCTTTCTGGGCTTGAGTCTGGAGGCTGCGTGGACCGGCGCGTGCCACGGTGTGGGGGCCGCCACCCCGCGGCCAGTCCTACTGCAGCATTTCCGTCGTGACGTTCGGAGAACCCTGTCAGTGAGGTAGAAGACAAAATGCCAGTTCCAGAATATTCTCCACATTCCAGAAGCTCCCGGGTGGAGCGCAAAAATTGCGCTCGCCTGGCCGGTGTTGTCCCTAGAGGCCGGGCTGGGGTGGGGTTGGGAGCGTGCAGATGTCATGAGGAGGGTGGGGGCACCCCCCCAATCCCTCTAAGTTGAAAGAATGGAGCCGACGGGAAGGACGCAGCCCCATGGACGGGGCGCCCGGCTGCCCTGACGAGGGCCGTCCCAGAGACTCAGACCCAAGAGGCGACACCACCCGAGTTCAACAAGTCGTGGCCGTTTATTAACAGGCGGCGAAGCTGGAGCACAGATGCAGGCGGCCCGGACGGACGGAAGAGGCTCCTGCGCGGCCCCCGCCGACCCCGAGGCAGGTCTGGCCCCGGCCAGCCGGCGGCACGCACACCAGCCGGGCTGCACTACGGGGCTCTGCCAACCAGTGTCTGGCCCAGCGCGGTGCGGGCGACAACCTGAGGGAAGCGGCAGCGTGGTAAGCACCAAATGTGGGCGATCTGCAGCCGTGGGCGGTCGGAGGGGGAGCTTCCTGCCCTTGCCAAGGAAACACCAAGTTGACAGGCAAGACCGTGGAGCTGGGCGCTTGCATGACGCTGATGGTGACCTCGTGGGCCAGAGCGGGGCAGGGGCTCGCGGCAGCCACGTGAGCTGGTAGCGGAGCTGGAGAGGGTCCGGGCTGCAGCTGGGCTCGGCTCGAGGAGGAGGAAGAGCAGGGGCATCGGCCAGACCGGAGCACCAAGTTCGGGGGGCCAGGCAGGTCCAGTCTCGGGGTCTCTCAGCGTGGTGGGGCAGCAGCGAGGGCCCGAGAGTCTGCGCCACCTCCTAGGCCGAGGCACCTACCAGGCTCGTGGGCTCGGGGGTGGGGCCTGCGGGGCTCGCAGGCTCCTGGGGGGGTGCTCTGGCCCCGGTCTCCTCGGGCGCGGACACTTCTGGGGGCTGCTCTGTGGGCGGGGGGCACTTGGCCAGGCCCTCGCCTGGAGGCGGCTGGGGGGGGCCGGTGTCGGAGTCCTTCCGAGGTTGCGGGTCCTCGGCTGCAGATGGCGCCCAAGGAGACTGAGGTAGGTCCTTCTGTAAGAGAGGCTGCAGTCAGGCGTGGGACTAGTCAGGAAAGCCCGGGGGGCAGCCTGGGGTGGGAGGGCAGAGGAGTCAGCATCCCTGGAGGGTCCAGCTCCAGGCCCAGGAGCCACCTTCCCTTGGGACCACCTACGACCACCAGCAGGCGGGCCACGGGATGGCCAGCTGAGGCAGAAACCCCGACTCTGACGTGTCTGGCTCGTTCCCCACCTCCTGAACCCTCCAGAACTAAGCTACCTGCTCTGTGGCAAAACCAGCGCTCACTGGGGCTGAGACCCTTTGAGGACGGTAGGCAGTGAAGCTGGGGTGCTTCCCGAGGGTCCGGGGGAGGGTGAAAATTCCCATCACCGGGTTACATCATCTGGTTAATTAATGGGGTGCCCTGGAGCCCTGCTCCATTCAGCGTCTCTAGGCCGGGACGGAGATGACGCGTGTTTCAACTTCCACAACACGCTCAACAGGCTCCACCCTGGGGGCCACGGGTCACACTCGGGAAATGCCTAGGGCCCTTCGGAGCTCCCGCGATTCACTGACATGCAGCGGGAGAAGGTCAGCACCGCCTGGGGCGCGGACACATGAGACCTCGTGCTTTCACATCGAAGGCATGATGCTACAGTAAGAGAAGCCTCCAGTCCCCTCCTCTTCTGGTGCAAAAACCAGCAGCACCAAGATAAGCGCCGTGAGCCCACCCTGGAGAGGAGCTCCGGGGCCCCGAGCTCAGCGCTGCGACCCTGATGGTGGGGAGAGCCGGAAGCCAAGGTCCAATCTGATGGGGTATTACCGCCCCTTGGGACTGGCACCGTGCTCAAGCCACACCCGGAGGGTCAGAGCCACAGGGACATGACAGCAAAGCAAACCTTGTGGGCACAGGGAAACACTGACCACGGGACATAGGCTGTGGGGTTTAGTCGTGAAACCGGGAGGTTTTACTCAACTGTAATTCTAGTTAGAGCTTATTGGGTTATTACTGCTCGCAGACAGTCATAGCAAACTGGTATTCACCGCAAAGCCGCTGCCCGTCCAGAACATGCCCAGCTCCCTGCGCCAGAGCGCCAGGGCGCAGCTTGTCATCAGCGTGCAGGGCACCAGGTAGAGGAGAGCGGGCTGGCCACGCTGCATCAGGGCCAGCGCCATGAACGTCACCAGGAGGCCGATGCCGTAGGCTGCGGAGACAGACGGGCCGCGTGTCACCTCGGCTGACGGCCCCGCACCCCCGCCGCGGGCACGCCGGAGCAGGACCGAGGAGCACCCGGGACCGGGGAGGTGGAGCGCCGGACAGAGGGCACACAGGGAGGGCTGCACGCGCACGGACCGGCCGGCTTCCTCCGGAGGCACGCTCCCGCCCTGCTGCGCTGGGACGGGCATGAGGCCGGCGGGGGCGACAGTGGGGCAGCGGCGAGGCCCAGGCTCCGGACCCAGAGAGGCCGCTAGAGAAAGGCCTGTGACCGCGCCTGACTGTCCTGGTCTCTAGGCCTTCAAGTAGAAAGAGAATTCTGAACGCAAGCAACGTGTGCACAAAATCAGGAAATCCAAACTTCGGTAAGCGGCCTGTGGTGGTACAGAAGGGCATGTCCACTCTCGTGAAACAGCCGGGGAGGCGGTGAGGGGTGAGGGGGTCGGCTCTCTGTCCGGCACGAACACGGCGTGCTCACTCACACACAACACAGCGGCTCCCTGTCCTGATCGCGACCTGAGGTACCTCAGGAAGGAGCTACGAGAAAACAAACCTTCACGGCTGGTCTCTAGCACCTACTTCCGCCCGTGGCTCCTGTCTGGTCCTCACCTGGCGCTCCGGGGACAGAGCGCTATTGACACTTACCCCGCGTCCTAAAGAAGTGGTTCAACAGAAGCCAACTACGGAAGAATAAAGGTGTTTGCTGCCGATAAAAGGTGTGCAGTTTCAATGACAAGGAACTACAGAAACCACCTGACAAACGGGGTCTCACACAGAACCCCGCAGCGGCACTTCAAGGACCATCGCGAGGATGCAAAGCCCAAGGGGAGGTTCAGGGATGGCGAGGGGGGCGAGGGGGACGAGGGGGTGCGCCCGCACCTGCAGGAGCCAGGGCGGGAAGGGGCAGACGGTGATGACCCCGAGGTGCACCCGGAAGGTCAGCCTGGGTCGTCCTGGGGCCTCCCCTTTGCGGGGCCTGGCTGCCGGGCCCGGGCACGCTGGCCCCCCCAACCCACGCACGAGGGGGTCAGAGCGCCTCCCGCCTGGTTGGGGGGGAGCACGCGTGCACACCGAGAAGCGCCATCGGGTGAGCTCACGGCTCCTCCTGGAGGGCTGACCAGAGGCGGGCAATCCAATCGGTTTGCAAAACGTTAAAAGCAATCGAGGCTCCACAGAAAAGGTCACTTCTACATGAACGGCTTTAGTAACCAGAGAAACAAACGGGAAACAAGGACAGAAGAAAGACAAAAGAACACAAGGAAGGACACACGACCTCGAGAGTCGTGGGGACGCAAAAAGGGCGCGAGGCGAGCCCGCTTCCGGCGCCGAGCTCGAGGGTGCTTACCCACAGTGCAGGCCACGAAGTAGACCCTGGACGACTGCACCTGGATGTCGAACCTGTGGCAGTATGCCACGAGCAACCCTACGGGGAGAAGGGGCATGGGCCGGGTGCGGGTGAGAGCCTGCGCCGTCCCTGCTCCTGCAGACGGCCGGCCCACCGAGCCAGCGGCCAGGCGCAGACCCCGCAGTGCAGAGGAGGGACCCGCCCCAAGGGCAGCCGCGAGCAGCACGGGAGCCCGGGGGCCGCCCGCCCCCACCTGCTCCGTTCCGTCTGCACCCGCCGGCCGCCCTGGCCTGACACTCCCGGGAACCCACCCCGGCGCGGCGTGCTCCAGTACCTGGCACCAGGATGTCCCCGAAGCCCAGCAGGGAGAAGGGCCGGTCACACAGGGCGAGCGGCGAAGCGTTCAGTCTGGGCACCTTCAGGACCATGGGGAGCTGGGGGGGGGGCGAGGGGGCAGCAGGCTCCAGGACCGCCCCAACCCCCGCCCCCCACCAGCAGCGTCCCGGCCACGGGCCCGCTACATACCTTCTCGTGGGTGGCCGAGTCCGAGGGCCCGGTCGCCACCTCCACCATGATGCTGTTCCCGCTCTAACAAAGGGGGGGCCGCGTCAGAGAGGAGGGAGCGCGGGGCTGGGGCTGTGGCAGCGGGGCACGGGTGGGGGCGCCCACCTTGGTCAGGAAGGGCGTGATGAACACAAAGAAGACGTCATAGACGAACAGCACCAGCAGCAGCAGCGTGCAGGCCTGGGGAGGCGAGGTCCTGATGGCCGCGCGAGGTGCCGGCAGGCGCGCAGACCCCGGCACGCGTCCCACCCCTCCCGCCCCTCACAAGGCTCAGATGTGCCGCCGGGACAAAGCCGCGAGGGGACACATGTGCAAACCCAGTCCCGTCCCCAGCACCACGAGGTCAGACTCGCAAGGTTTCTGGGGGATGGAAAAGCTGGGAGGCATGGGGCTCGGGCGACACGCTGTGTGACCGGTCGCTGTGGATGTGGGTTGCTGAGCCCGTCACGGCTCCCCGCGTGCTCCTCCTTGGGGATGACGGCCTGGGGCCTTGGCTGGGGGGCGCCGACCGCACCCGCCTGCCCATGTGAGCAACACCCCCCACCCCCCCGCAGAGTGGCTGCCCCCGGGGCAGGGTTCCGGGCCTCCTCACGGCCTGGTGGTCACTGGCGTGGCTGCCAGGCTGGGAGGCAGATCTCAGCGGCTCCTTAAGCCCTGCCACTGGGGAGGCGGCGGGAGAGACCGAGGCACAAAGACCATGCTGCCCACGGAGGGCCAGGGACGCCCGAGCACAAGCAGGTGAGGGCAGGCCTGAGCCACTCGAGGCACGTGACGGACACGGAGAAGGCCCTCAGGATGCCGCCGCCCACGGCCCCACGTCCCCGGGGCGCTCACCTTAAAAGTGGGGAGGCGGATGGTCTTCAACATGTAGAGGCAGAAGGCGACGCCCAGCGCATCCTGAAGGATCCAGGCCCACCTAGAAGGCAGAGTGGTGGTCACCCGCTGGGGCAGGGGCTCCACCGGTCACTCCTTCCTCAGCCGCCTCAGCTGCCAGAGTTTCCCGAGCTGTCCCCTCCCAGCCTGAACCCGTCATGCTGTGACGCCCCGGGCGCAGGCCCCGAGGAGGGCGGGCAGGGCCCCTCACTGCGCTGGGCACAGGTGGGGCAGCGACTGCCAACCCCGACACCACGCACACATCATGGGGCGGGCACGGGGGCGTCGTGCAGCTACTGGACTCAAGTCTCTCTTTAAAACTATTTTTTACATGATTTAGAAAAGTCAAACTCTTGCCCAGCCAGGTTCCACAGCCCACCTCTCGGCCCGGGAGACAGGGGCTCAGGGACAGGCAGAGGGGACGCAGAGGCAAACGTGTGACCCCAGCACCACCAAGGAGCCGCCACCGCAGGGCCACGTTCGCCGTGTGCAGCCTCGCCCCTACCCACACCCAGGTCACCCCTGTGGAACCAGGATGAAAGCCTCTCCCGGGCGGGGCGGCCGTGAAGAACAAAGAGAAGGTTCGCAGGCGGCCAGTGGGCGCCCAGACGCGGTGGGAACAGGGCCTGTTCTAATTTTACAGAACGGAGCAAGCCTTCTGGCTTGAGTCTAACTGTGAGAGCTCCCGTTCTCTTTGTGTACAAAGGACTCAAAATATTTTCACGTTTTCCTTCTGCCAATTAAATCTGTCGGGGCTCCAAGCGGCAGCGCAGCCAAGAGCGGCTGACTGCCTCACAAGAGGCTCAGAGGGAGCGCCAGATGGTGTCAGAGGGGCTGGGTGGCGGCGGCGGCGGGGGGGGGGGGGGGGGGCTGCAGCCTCCAGGCCTCCCTGCACTGGGGCACCGGGCCCCGCTGAGGCACCCTGGAGGACACGTGCTCGGGGCACCTGGGGGCAGGAGGGCTGGCGGCATCTCATATCCAGATCCCGATCGCCACCGCTCATGCGGCAGCCGGACAAACGTGGTGACACCGGATGCGGGCGGCAGCACCGGGCCGCCACACGGCCCACACTCGCAGCCTCGGGGGGAGGGCGAGGCCCAGGGAGCGTCTGAGGACAGCCCGCAGAGGGGGTGGCACTCACTGGTCCTCGTTCCGGAAGATTCCCCACACCACGCTGACGGCCAGGCAGAGCAGTGCGAGGAGCAGCATGCTGACCCGAGGGCGCTTGCGGAAGTAGGGCAGGCTGTTGTCGGGGACCCTGGGAGCGGGGCGGCCATCAGGGGCAGCTGGCTCCTCGCTGCCACCAGCACCCAGGGGGTCACCTCACCCCTTGCCCCACCACCCTGCCTTGCCCCCTCCTCCACTCCACGTTCCCTATTAACATCCGTCTTCACGCCTTATGGCGTCTCCAGAAGGGAGGTCCCCCAGGGCAGACCAGAGCAGAGCCGGGGTGAGCACTCACCCGGCCTGTTCTGAACCAGACCAGGCCTCTGGCAGGTTAGCCCCCCGCCCCCGCCCAGGCCTGGACCAGCAGCGCCTGCGCCCACATGGCCCTGCCCTGCCACCCCTGCCTGGGACCGACAAGCACCCACGCTGTCCCCACTGGGCCTGAGCTGCAACGGGATGGGAAGCAGGGAGAGGGAGGCCGGAGAACCACCGCCCACTACCCTGCTCTGCCCTGCTCCTGAGGCCGGGAGCCCCGGGCAGCGCTGGGCGAGCGTGGGATGCCTGCCCATGCCGTGCCAGACCGGGGCCACGGGACAGGCAGGGCGTCCTCGGCACCGTCCAAGCAGAGCTTGGAGCTTCAGGAACCAGGAGATGGGAGGCCAACGGAGTTGGGGCGAGCAGAGCCCTGGGCGCTGGGCCGGGCAGGGGCTGCCCACGGGGGCCTACCTGCAACTGCCAAATGGCAGCCTCTGGACCAATGGTGACAGACAGCTGTACAGGCCCGTGGAGGAGGACAGGCAGAAGATGGCGATGATCACATAGACTGCAGGGCGGGGCGGGCATTGAGGGGCAGGGGTCGCCTGGGGTCCCCCGCCCACCCTGCCCCCGGGAAGGGCTCCGCGGGGCTGTGCGCCTGGGCAGGGCGGCCAGCACCCGGTGAACGGGAGGGACGGCTCCCAGCCCGAAGGCCTCCTCCTCCGGGCCGGGGCCGGCGGCCCCCATTCACCCCGTAACCAAGCAGCTTCTCCAGGTGGGCCGGGGACCGGGCGCCGCGGGGACGCACCAAGCTGGTCGTAGAAGTGGTAGAGCAGCACCAGCATGGAGCAGCACATGACCACGAAGACGCAGACCATGGCGGGGCTCACGTCCACAGCCTCGTCCTCCCGCCTCTCGGGCCCGCCGTCCCGCTTGTGTTTCACGTACCTTCTGGGAGGCACAGGCGAGGCTGGGGACACCCTGCGGCCGGCACCAGGCCCAGGGGCCCCGGGGCAGGGCGGGGACAGGCAGGGGCGGCGCGACGCAGGCAGCGGCAGGCCCAAGGGGCACCCCCTCCACGCCCCCTGCGTGTCCTTGCCGCGTCGTCCGCGAGAGCACCAAGCCGACCCCGGGGACCTCAGGAGACTGCGCAGGGAGGGGTCACAAGGCGAGCCCCCGGCCCCCGAGAGCCACTTCGATGGCGAGTGACGGGATCCCCTTGCCCAGCGCCGGGACCACCCACGGACCCCGTCCAGCACGGACCCCGTCACAGGCCTCCCTGGGCACTCACTTCTTCACGTCCCGGCTCCCGGCCCAGTAGCCCCCGAGGGCGACAGTGCCAACGGCCATGATGAAGATGATGACCATGTTGTAGTCCAGCATGGGCTCGCCGGGGGCGTAGAGCGCTGCCCTCGCTGCTCGGCCAAAACTCTGCCTCAGAAAACGCACCAGAGCTCAAGGTTGAAGCGGCCGTCCCGTCCCCAAGCCCACCCCAGAGAGCCAAGGCCCAGGGAGACCTGTCTCGGGGGGACCCCCGAAGCCCATGCCTTCACCCACCACTCCCAGCCCAAAGAAATCAACTCGGGCAGAACAAGCTTCCCACGAGGTCAGGTGAGGGGCCCGTGCACGTGTGGAGACACAAGCCCCAAACCTGGACACGCGTGTGCACACACAGAACAGGGCACGTCGCCTGGGAAGCGTCTGGCTGGCCGGGGAGAGCTGTGGAAGCTGCAGTCAGGATGGAAACGTGCAGACGCTTCCACAAAGACTGAACGTTCCTGTTCTGCTTGTGTCTGGAAGCTTGCCGGCTCCTGAATCAACTCCCCAAACCGTGGGTGAACACGGGCCTCTGGTCAGACAGGGCCAGACGTGGGCAGGGTCGGCCGGCCTGGGAGCCAGTGCCCAGTGGCTGCGTGGCAGAGAGGCCCTGGGCGCTCTGACCTCTGGGGCCGGTTCTCTGCTCCCGCTGCTCTGTGGCACCACCAGGCTTTCCCGGGGAGCTGGTGACGAGTGTGGCAAGAACCACCCACCCACGAGCCCCCAGTGGGCAGCCTCACTCCTGGGTCCCTGCCCACCAGGTACTTAGGGCGCCAGACCAGGTGCAGACTGGAGGGGGCAGGAGGCCCTACCTTGAAGATGTCCAGCATGTCTTTGTGGCTGAGCAGGGCCACGGGAATCCCAATCTCGTCATACTGTGTCTTGTTGCCTCCTGGGGGCACCTGGGGGCCAAGAGGAGGGGGTGCGAGAACGATGGGACGGTTTACCAAGGCCCACCTGGGGTGAGAGACAGGCTGCCCCCCAACCGCAGGGCCCGCAGAGCCAGCCCTCTTGTGGGGGGAGCAGAGGTGGGGTGTGTGTGTGGCGTGTGTCTGTCTTTCTGTCTCTCCCCGCTGGGGGAAGAAAAGCTCTCTCTTCACTTTTAAGCCTTGGGGTCAGGTCGCTTAGGTGCCAATCTACCCTGGGATGCCACCTGCCCCTCAGGAGGCACCCCTAGAGCTCTGCCCCGAGGCCTTAGAGGAGACAACCCTACAGAACCCCCAGGGCTGCTCTGGGACACGGCCCCTCCGAGACGATGCATCGCCACGGTCAGCCAACTCCTGGGGCCGTACCAGCGTCTCCTTGCTGACAATGAGCAGCCCGCGGGCCCCGCCGCCCTGCGCCAGCCGCACTTTCTCATAGAAGGTGCAGTTTCCCCGCGCCACCAGCGGGATCTGGTTGCTGAAGCCTTTGGCGGGGAGGTCGGGTGGAGAGCAGAGCACGGAGGCCGTCCAGTCCCGCACCTGCAGGAGAGACTGGGGAACGTGGCACTTACACCAGCTGATCTAGAAAAGTCAATGGGGGGGGGGGGCACACGCACACACTCACACGCCCCCGCACACTCACACGCCCCCGCACACACGCCCCTGCACGCGCACACTCACGCCCCTGCACGTGCACACACTCACACACCCCTGCACCCGCACACACACACACATGTATGAGCATATACGTACACACACCCAAGTGCAAGGCAAATAGGAGGGACAGAGGTGGGTGAGTGCTCAGAGGAGGCCCACTGGGAGACGCTTCCTGCCTCCACGGCAGGTGGGAGAGGTGGCCTCAGGGTGAGAATCACCCACCCGCCATGCCACGTGCGGCCAGTCCTCACTCCTCAGGACCCCTCTGCCAGCCAGCCCTGGTCCAGCGTGTGGGGGCTTGGCCAGCGCCCCTGGTGGGGGCCATTCCTCAACAACACCTGGACATCTTTTGTTTCTGACCAAGGAAACCAAGGCCCAGAGAGGCCATCTGAGACCCCAGCAGCCCCTGGAGTGTGACCCCCACATTGGTTTCGCAGCTGAGGCCCTTCCTCTGTCCAGCAGGCTCCCTGCAAGATGAGATGTCTAGCAGCCCCTCCAGGGACCAGGCTGGGGAGCAGAGGGGTGGCAGTCAGCAGGACAGACCCAACCCCAAGTCCAGAGGGGGCGCCCCAGAGCACCTCCAGGCCTGCCAGGCCCACAAGGAAAGACCCCAGTGGGAAGACCCTCATGAGGAAGGGCCCCAGCGGGCACTCACCGCTTTGCCAAGGTCATGTGGCAGGTGGGCCCACTGTGGGTTGTAGAGAATGCAGTAGTCTTTGCCTTTGGGGCCCCCTGTCTCAGAGACCACGTGCACCATGCCATACTCACAGGCCACCTGGAGTGACAAGGCAGTTGGTCAGAGAGCTCGGCAGAAGCAGCAGGGTCTGAGCCAAACAAGGACACCCCCCGCCCAGGGTTTAGGCTGGTTTCCTCTCTCCTACAGGGCAGACGGGACACCAGCACAGACATCTTATGGTGCAGAAAACAAGGAAGGGCAGCCAGCATGGGAACGGGCTTCCCCAGGGAGACCCGGGTGCTGACTGCACCCTGTGAGGTCCCCTCCCTGTGGCTCCCACGGCAGGGACAGCACCACCTCACAGGGCCCTCGCAGGACTGACGGCACAGGGAGAATGAGAACCCCATGGCTCTGTCACGAGGAGGACACGGGGAGTCCACAGATCCACCCCCAGGGCTGGGTGGTGGCTCGAGGCCAGGAACACAGGGCAAGGCCTGCCAGGCCTGGCAACTTCCTTGCCCCTGACCCACAGGCTCCTGGAAAGCCTACCTATTGGGCACTAACTGCTGAGGCCAGCCGGCTCCGGGCCCTCATGCCACACCTCATTTTCCAGGGGAACCTCGGCGCCTTAGTCACATGACTGGCCCCTGCCAGGCACAGACCAGTGGGATCCCAGTGGGGACCGACCGCCAGGTTCAAAGGCGTGGCAGGAAGTAGGCAGTCTGCAGGGCGGGCGGCTCTGGGGCTGGGAACTCTGAGACTTTGCAACAGAGGAAGAGCCGTGCAGACACCAACAGGGCACGGACAGCTCGCTCCCCACAACCCCGAGCCAGCAAAGCCTGTCTCCCCACCCAGCCCCAGCTTCCCAGAAGGAGGAAGGGGCAGCTAGAGCGTCATGGTCCCCCACAGGGCAGCTGGCTGCTCGGGAAGGGCCACACCCAGAGGATCAGGAGGACCCGGCAAGCTTTGTCTGACTTCAAAGCGAGGCACAGGGGCAGGACCCACAGTTCTCGAAATACTGGACAACCCTCAAGAACAGTGGGATGGCTGGGGGCCTGGGACAGAGGGGCTGACTCTCATCTTTTCGGGCTGACTCTCATCTTTTCTGTTGAACACCAGCTTAATCTCCATGAAAAGCCATTGTTTCACACAAAGGTGTCCCCACTCCCTGCTCACCCACATCTCCTGCCTGAACCACTGCAACCCTCCCTAGAGCTGGTGCCTGGCTGGCTGGCGGACCAGAGTGCAGGGGGCCCTCTCCCACCTCCTCCCCTACCCTGGGCTCGGGCTGGGGCAAAGGGCCCCCCACAAGCACAGCCTCCATCCTTGGATTTCATCAACAGTAGGTCACACAGCATTTGGGGCCCAGGTCTTGGTGGCACTGCCCCTAAGCAGGCTCACCCCAAGTCTGAATAGCTCCCGGGGGCCTGCTGAGGGAGGGGGGGGTCTCAGGAGAGAAGCCCGGTGCTAGGAGCCGAGGGGATCAGTCCAGCCACCACTCCCCCAGGGGGCCCTGCACACCTGGCCCGGAAGCCTGCTCTGCGCACCTTGGGCTCCTGGGGCCCACGCTTCTGTAGCCTGTGCTCTCCTTAGGCTCAAGACTAAGATGGAAAACCCCCTCCTTGGAACCCCAAGAATCTGCCAAGGAGCCAAACACCTAGAGCCGCTTGCCTGACACAGATGCCTGATGGGGTCCGGGCGCAGGACGCACGCCTCGCCGTGGGGGCAGAGCGTGCAGCTGACTAGGCCGAGGGTCCTGATGGACCGCGGCCCCCGACACCAGGCCTGGGGCAGTGACTGGCTTCCGTTCGGCCAGACCATCGGTGGAAGCTCAGCAAGGCCCCGGCCACTCCAGGAGCTTCTCACCCCACCCTGGTCACGCTGCTGTGGCAGCAGCATGGAGACCCCAGGGCATCCCAACCCCGCGGCAGGCAGGCCAGCAGGGGCGCGGGGGGCGCGCCCTGGTCCTCTCCAGGGTCCCCGACCACCGCTCCTCCAGCGGGCACCTCCGATCTGACGCCGTGGCCTGTTGCCTCGAGGGAGGCATCGAATGCCTCGTGCACTGCTGGGGGTGTGCGGGGAAGCCATGCTTGTGCACTGAGCTCCCAGAACCCAGGTTCATGAGGGCAGGGCCGGATGCTGCCCGAGGCCAACCAGGGGTCTTAGAGCACCTCACGAAGGCCGCGCCCTTCCGCCACCTGCTCTGGCCAACCTCCAGGCACCTCACGTGTCACCTCACTCCCTCCACCAGAGGCATTAGGAGTGCTCTCTTCCGTTCTCCCCACCAGACTGCCCCCCAAGGGCACCCCTCAACCTGGCCCTAAGTGCTTTACCTGGCTGTACACCCCTTCCAAAGGGTCACCCCAAGCTCAGAAACCCTGGCGCCTCCTTACCATGGGCCATGGTGGGGAAGAGAGGATCTCTCAACCCATAGGCCTCATGCAGCCCACCTTCTGTGCTTCTAAATAAAGTTTTATTGGAACACAGCTGCCCCATTCCTGTATGCAGGGCCTCTGGCCGCTCTCAGGACTCCTGCAGGGCTGCGTGGTTGCGACAGAGACCATGTGGCCCACAAAGCCAGAAATACTCACTGTCTGGCCCTTTTCAGGACACTGCTGACCCCTGTTCTGTGGGATCCAGGTTGCGGGGGAAAAGTGTCGTTTGTGTAAAATGGGAATGCACAAAAGCTGCTTCTCTTTAAAAAGGTCATTTGAGAGCACAGAAGCCCACCTCACGGACCCCTCTCCCCACAGTCTGCACGACCAGCTTCCCATTAGGAAATCAGCCTGTGCTTATGTCAAATGCCAGAGTATGGTTTCCTCCCCCATGGAGTTAAAGGGATCAGAAGTTCTTCAAAAGGACCCAGTGCTACTCAGTCTAGCATGGCCCATCCCAATCTGGAGAGCCAGAAATCACTGGGACTACCAGACAGGCCACCTTCTGACACATCACAATCACCAAGCGGGTTCAGGAACTTCTAGGGAAACCATGCTTCGGGGAGACCATACAGGCATTCCACATCAGGCGGTTTAAGAAAAGCTAATGAGTCTAGGCTGGAAGCAGTCGTCTTTCTAAGACTTGGTAAGTTCTAGGAGAGAGTGGAAAAATAAGAACCCAGGAAGCTTGGAAAGAGACGTTGAGGCAGATGAGGGGCAGGGACTGGTGGAGGAGCTGGGAGGGGACAGGTGGAGGAGGGGCAGAGGGTGGAGGAGGGGGAGGGTGGAGGAGTGGAGAAAGGAGGAAAGGGGTGGGAGGGCACTAACGTGACTTCAGATCTGCTGAGTGACAGCCTCCACCACTGTCTTTGTGTGCACATCCTGTAGCCACTGGGGAGACCTGTATATTTGGGGAATCCCTCTCCCAGGGTCACAAAATGGTAGCAAACGAGTTCAGGGCTGCCCACAAGCAGCGTCCCAGGCAGTGGAAAACTAGTCTTATTCTCAGGCACTGGGACCCAAACTTCCACAAAGAACCACACCCACCCACCACAATGCCATCTGTCCTATCTCAGGGCAGACAAACACACAGGCCCGGGCTCTGTTCTGGGAAGAACCAGCTAAAGTGCTCTCATCACAGGCTCCGACACCGTCCTCTGCTTGCACACAGGACAAAGTTCAAAACCTTCAGCCTGCCCAGGAGCACCACGAGCCTTCCACCACCTGCCTTTGATCTGCCCAGCCCAGCCCAGGGAGGCCACAGATTGACCTGCCCTTTACCCTCTACCTGGGAGCCACTCCTGCTGCCCCCTCCCTGTTCCCTTCAGCTGAAGGGGCAACCCCAGCTCCCTTAAAGTGCACCTGAGGGCCTCCTTTAGGGTGTCCTCTTTCTCAGGGTGTAAGCATTATACCACCCCTGCATTACCAGCCAGAGTGGACCCCTCACCTGCTCAAAATAAGTCATCAGCTCTCATACCTTCACCCCTGTTCAAGCTGCTCATCACCTGCAACACCCTCCCTCTGCCTTCGAGACCTGGCAAACTCCTGTTCATCCTTCAGAACACCCCTTAGGTGCCCCTGCTTCCACAAAGCCTTCCCAGGGAAACTAGGTCACTCCCTCCATGGTGCGCCCGTTACCCTGTGTCCACTTGTCATTTTGCTCTCATTCAAAATGTCCCTACCCTTGACTTGCTTAGACTGCTGAGGAAAATGAGGGAGTAGGGTTGGGGGAGGTATGGGGGCTCAGCCAAGAGCTGGGGGAGGGGCAGCCCAGGGAACTTCTCCAGGGGTGGGGGAGGGAAAAACTAAGTTGAGACCAGAGAGATGACCAGGGGCATTCCAGGGACACGGGGAAGACCAGAGAGCAGAATGCCTTCGGCAAACTAGAAAAGGAGGGGAAGCTTCCCAAGCAGCCAAACCACAGAGACCTCCCACATGCACTGGATGCCACAGGAAGGTTCTCATCTGGATGCAGCAAGACCTGACACACTTTCAAAGACATCACGCCTGCTGTGTCAGGAATAGACTGGGGATGTGGCAGAGCACCAGCCACCTGAGGCTACAGTAGAGAGGTGGTGGGCTGGGGTGGACAGGTCAAGGTGAATGGCTGCGTTCGCAGGGCTTAACGTTAGGGACACCGTTCCCAGAGCTGCATGACCCAGGGGAGAGGGAGGGAGGACCTGCAAATAAAAAACGCGCTCATGATAATGTAGGGACATCAGCCAGCTGGTGGCAAGCCCCCCACTAAGCCCCGTGGGGGCTCTGTTAAGGCCCCTTAAAGTTAAGGCCCTCTGCCCCTTAACTTTAAGTGCCCAAGAAGGAGCATATCAACCACCCCATGTGCATCACCTCGCTGAGTCCTCACTGTACTCTTCTCTATCTTCTGCAGATGAGCAACTGCCACCCAAAGGGGGGACCTCCCTTGCCCAAGGTCACCGGAGAGAATATGGGGCGGCGATTCGACCCCACTTCCAGGGATGGGCTCCTGGCCGCTCCCCGAGACTGCCAGGCACTGGGTGCCGTGCTGGACGGCTTACCGCAACCACGCACGTGGGCGCTAACATCGCGCGAAAGGGGAAACTGAGGCTCGCAGATGGGCAGCCGCCTGGCCAAGACCACGCAGCCAGGCAGGGGTGTCCCCGGCGGCGGTTGGACACCTCGAAACGGAGCAGGGCCTGGGGAGGTAGGGGGGCTCCCAAGCTCCAGACCCAGACGCAACTGAGCGACGTCGCAGCTGGGGAGGGCTACAAGGCGGGGAAGAGAGAGTGGCCGGGGACAGGCCCGCAAGGTCACGGCCCGGCTCCCGGCCCGCGGGCCACCCGCGCGGGGGGCGAGCAAACCCGAGGCTGGCCCCCAGGCCAGCTCGGGCGAGGCTTACGCGGGGCCCAGGGCAGAGGGGCCGGGTGCCGCAGCCTGCGGAGCCGGCGGGGCCGACGCAGCCTCACCTGGGCCGCGAGGAGGAGGAAGGCCGCCGCGAGCCGCGCCAACGCCGCCGCCTCCGCCGCCGCTGCCGCCATGTCGGCCGGTCGGAGCCGCAGGCGTCGCCAGATGTCTCCCAGCAACGCCCCGGCGCGCCCGGGCGCGCCTGCGCCCTGTGAGCTCTGCGCCTGCGCGCGGAGGAAGGGTCAAAGGGCGCGCGGCGGCGCCTGCGCAGAGCGGCGCGGTGCGGCAAGATGGCGGTGAGCGCGCGGCAGGGCCGGCAGGGCGGGCGGCGTGGGACCCGGCCGCGCTCTACGCCTCACGCGCTCTGCTTCCCCTGCAGGACAAAGAGAAGAAGAAAAAAGAGAGCATCTTGGACTTGTCTAAGTACATCGACAAGACGATTCGGGTGAAGTTTCAGGGAGGCCGCGAAGGTGAGACCCCGCTGCCCGCACCCCGTAAACGATTTAGGGTGAGCGACGGCGGAGGAGAGGATGGTGGCGGATGCCTGGGCACCGCCTTGAGCGCTTTGCTCGGGAAACTCGAGCCAGCCTCCTAACTCCGCCGAGGGGTTCGGAGCTGTGCCTCGCGTTCCGCACGCGGGGAAACCGAGGCACGGGAAGGGGTCCGAACAACCCAGAGCCACATTGGTGCAGCCGGGACTGGGAGTCCCGACTTGCCTGCTGTGCGCTCCTCTCTCCGAGTCCCTCCCGGACAGCTGTCCCAGCTGGTCACTGATGCCCCTACACCCGGGCTCCTTGGGCTCCGCACTCGTGACTTTGGGGCCAGATTGTTCTCGGTTGTGAGGGCTGAACGGGGCGCTCCGGGCTGCTGAGCAGCAAACCCTGGATGCCCCTAGATGCCAGGAGCATCCCTGAGTTTTGACAACCCAACCGGGTCTGTCCTCGGTTGAGACCACTGCCTCTACAGTCAGTCTCTGAAGTGTGGAGCAGACGGACCTGTTAAACACAAATGGACTCTTCTCGTGCGCGGTTCAGTCCCTCCAGGCTCCCCGCAGTCCTATAGGGGAAAGGACAGCCTTGTGTGTCTCTGAGGAGCTCGTGGAGCCCTCAACTTACCACAGGGCTGTGACGTATCTGTGCTGCAGTGCTCCTACCGGCTCTAACTTGTTACCGGTGTTGAAGTAGAAAACTGCGTGAATTTTATAGATCTTGGTGGCTTTTTCGGCTAATCCTGAGTCATACAGCATCCCATGTAGACAGAAGGGAGCTCCTGGAGCTATACGGGATGGGAGGTTTTTATAGGCAGGAGGCTGCAGGAACAGGCAGAGTGGATTGTTTCAGGCATGGTCACCCTCCTTGGGGGGATGGTGGAGGTGTATCGGGAAGATTAGCTCACTAGTGCCTGCCCAGAAATTCCACATTGATTGGTTGAGATTGCGTTTCTGGGAGAGCTGAAGCTGCAGTTAGGTTAGGTATTAAGTGTTGGTTTGGTAGCATGGGCTTGGCACAGTTGACTCCGTTTGGGGTCTCTTGTCTGTTTTTTAACTCCAGGTTAACTCCAGAGTCCTTTTCCTGCTCTCAGCTCAAGGTTCTTGCTCTGGGAAGCCTTCCCTGACCCGCCACCGTGGGCCACGCCCCTTTGGTGTAAGCTCCTAGTACCGTCTGTCATGGTTTCCCGTTTTATGCAGGTAAACGGGACACTGAACTCTGCATCTTCCCCTGAAACATGGTGAGGAGAGGGCAGGAACGAGGCCCAGTGTTGCTCATGCTTACAGGCAGTGTGGCCTGGGCATGGCGGCTGCCCTGCAGCCTAGCCTCTGGGGTCAGAGCCCCAGCTCTTTGGCACACTGCCTGTGGGACTTTGGGCAGCTTACCTTCCGTAGGGCTCTGTTTCTTCATTTCTTCACTCTGCCTACCTCACCGGGCCATGAGGGTTACAGGGTTGGAGGCACGCTTAGCATGGTTCCTGACACCAGCAAGCCCTTGAGCAACATTTCATTTCTTCAGCTGCCTCTTTGATCTTCAGTGTGTTTCCTGAGACGGCGATCCCGAGCTGCGGGTGACTGGCACCGGTGTGGTTAAGAGCGTGGTGCCTGCAAGTGTAGGTAGCTGGCAGCAGTGAGAATTCAAACCTGAACGAATGTTTGCTCTGTCTGCACCGTGCTGGCCGTCGGACATGTGAACAAGATGCAGCTCTTGTTTCTCAGGGTGCTTGTATGGGCTTTCTCTGCCGCCTAGCAAGTTACCACCACTTTAGCAGCTTGAACAACACAAATCTACTGTCTTGTGGCGGCTGTCAGGAAGGAGTCTGGGTGTCTGGGGCTCCAGGTCTCACAGGTTGCGGTAAAGGAGCGTCTAGGAGCCTGTTATCTCAGGCCCAGGGCCTTCGTCCAGCCCTGCTGGTTGTTGGCAGAATTCACGTCCCTGTGGCTGTAGGACGGGGGTCCCCATGTCCTCCTGCAGGTGTCCAGGGACTCGTGGCTCTTAGAGGCTGCCTGCCAGCCCTTGCCACAGGACTCTGTCCCCACCATGGCAGTCTGCTCCCTCGGGGCCAGCAGGAAAATCCTTCCCATGCTTCCAGTTTCTTCTTTTACAAAATTCCTATTCCCTTAACAGCTTATCTGATCAGGTCAGGCCCACCAAGGCTAGTCTCTCGTTAGGGGAGCTGAAAGTGCACTGGTTCTGGGACCTTAATCACATCTGCAGATTCCTTCATCTTCCTTGTCCTGTAACCCTCTTACAGGAGTGACATCCCATCATATTCACAGGTCCCCTCCCACAGGTGGTCACTGGGCTGGGGGACATTGGCTCGCACCCCACTGAGGAGGACAGACCCACAGGTGCGGGCGCAGTGCCCACTGCTTGTAACCCCGTCGGGTGTCCTCGTGACCTTTGTTTTGCGGGGGGGGGGGGGGGGGGAACGACACAAGCAGGGAGAGAGGAAGCCACAGAGCCGGGGGCTCCAACCCAGCAAGTCAGGCTGGCAGACGTTTTCCCAAAGGGCCAGACCGTCTCTGTTGCAGCTGTCACGTCTGCCCCTGGAGCAGGAAAGCAGCCACAGACCGCGCGTCAGCAAGTAACCGCGGCTGTGAGCTGGCCAAGCCACTCAGGGAAGCGCCGCGGCTGGATTTGGCCCATGGGCCATAGTTTGCAGACCCCACCCTACACCAGCGGGGCTGCCGGTCACGTCCAGCCCCGTTCTCGGTGCAGACTCTACAGCTGCAGTGACTCGGGGGGACGCCCGCTTCCGCCAACTGTGCCTGGGACGGGGAGGCCTGAGCAGGCGGGCGGGTGCTTTCAGGGTGCATCACACGGCAGCGCCAGCTGGTGCTCCGCTCCTTTCCGTGTGGGCGTATGCCATGGCTCGTGAGCTGGGAACAGTTTTTAACAATTCTAAATATTTGAAAAAATGAGACGATTATTGCACGTTTTTGTATCCGTAAGTAAAGTTTTATCGTGGCACAGCCTCACCTGAGTGTCTCCGTGTCCTCTGGCTGCCTCGCCCCAGGAAGGCAGCGCGGAGTGGTTGCTATGGAGACCACGGGGCCCACACGGTTGAAATGTGCGCCAGCTGGGCCTTTGCAGGAGACATTTGCCACCACGTTGTGGTGGCGTCGTTTGGGGTCATCCTCATGGCTCCCCTCCTGGAGCCCCTCCCTCACTTTCCCCCTGGTGCCTCTTCTCTCCCGTCCCTGCAGAGGCTGCTCCCCACATCTGCACCTTCTGGGGGCGAGCCCGTCTCTGTGCACCTGTCCCCAGAACGACCGCTTATCTAACGCCTTTCTGTTTCTCTCCTCGGTGGTTCCTACAAGCCAGCGGCATCCTGAAAGGGTTCGACCCACTGCTCAATCTCGTGCTTGACGGCACCGTGGAGTACATGAGAGGTGAGCAGAGCTGTGGGACTCGGAAACTCTTTGCTGGGCTTTTTTACTGCCCCAAAGCCACCGAGCTGCCGCTGTGTGATGGACACGGTGCTTGTGAACCAGATAGCTGGTCTCCCTCGTCTCCCGCTACCCCCGCATGGACCCTCTGCTGCTAACGAGGGTCCTGGTCCCGTCACCCCAAGTCCCCAGAGCCTGTGCAGCAACATACACTGGTCGGACCGGCACCTGCTCATCTGCCGACACAATCTGCAGCTCAGTCCGTCCGAGGCATTCAGGGGACATCCAGGCCTAGGAGGGAGGCAGGGTCCTGGCCCTCAGGGACTCTATGTTACTCTGGTGACAAATTCACAGGGCCACCAGAGAGGCCTCTTTGTGGGGGAAGCATGGTCACGGCTGAATGGCCGGTGCCGCCAGGCCTCTTGCTTTGCCCTCAGTTTCTTCTCTCCTCTCTGGGTCCGCCCACACGCCCTGCTTGGCCACCCATGCTGGGATCCCGGCCCGGCCCCCTTGGCCAGATGATTTCTTCCTTTGTGAAGGGAGAGCTCCACCACATGGGCCCGTAGGGAAAAACCCCAGAAGTGGAAGCAAGCTGGGCGTTTCAGTGCACGCCAGGCCACGTGGCCCCGGGAGCCTGCTCCTCCCAGGGCGGCCTCACCTGTGGTGGGGTCTGTGCCGTCTTGTCTCAGCCCCAGAACAGCCCCCCTCGTGGGTTCCGGGAGGGGCCGGGCCCAGGACAGTGGTTACTCTGCACGATCTGGTGGTTACTCCTGTATGATCTGGTGCCCCAGACCTGGTCTCTGGCACGTGGCACCGCCTGGCCTCCCCCCAACATACTGCAAAAGTGATCAAGGTTTTCAGCCTCTGTCACTTCCATGGGGGCCTCTCATCCCACCCTTAACCGCCAGTGGACCTGCCCCATAGGGCTTCGAGATTTTTGCAGGAGCTGGGAGTCCCAGACTGATTTTTCTTCCAGCTGCTCATCCTAACGTGGTCTCAGGACCTCCGCTGGCTCAGGTGCCAGGGTCCCCCACGCCGTGTTTTCCTTGTAGAAGAAGGGCACGCGTGGACTGTTGCTGCCAGAGCTCCTCCGGGCCCTCGTGGTCCGTGGGTCACCTCAGAGACAAGGGCAGCATGTCTGGGCTTTGGGAGCAGGGTGAGGCCCTTGGGCTGTCACCCAAGCCGGCAGGCTCCCTTTGATTTGGGTCCTTAGAGCCACACCCCCTCCCCACCACGTCTGGCGCGCCGTGTCCCCTCGGGTCTGGAAG